AGCTGTTCTGTTTGGGGAAGGGACTGCATCTTTTTTTTCCTTCTGATTCTGTGAAATGAGGAAACCTAAAGAGGAGTTCGACGTGCATAGGAGCCAGAACAAAAATAAGCACCAGGGAGGGGTAGGAGAGATGGGGAGCAGCAGATGCACTGTAGGGAGTTGAAAAATCCCACCAATACCTGTGAATAATTCTAGATGGGAATCTTTGTAGTCTCCTAAATTTGTGCAGCTAGGCCTCGTCTATGACACCCAGACGTTCAAACAGAAAACGTATTTCCAAGTATGCCTAGTCACACATGGCTTTGCACCACAAATTGCCTGAGCCAATTCATAGCAAAGGTGGTGGAGAATTTGACAATTATATAAAAAAACAATTGCAAACTTTTGCAAAAGAGTGATTAAATGTGAATTTCAATTCTCTTGCACTGTCCTGCTTCAGTCTGTACTGCAATGACAGTGGGGAGAGGAAGCAGTCGTTAAAACAGTTAAGCCAGAGTTTCCGTCTTAGAGGGCTGATCCCGCCCAGTGCTGAGCACCTCCTGAATTAATTTCTCTCCTTACTGATACTCAGCTGGTTTCAATAAACAAAGTACTCTCTTACTGGTTACAGTTCTGGGAACCCCAACTGCTCTGAGGTCTATTTTGAATACTAATATAAAAACTAAATTCTGATGTCACACGCCACCTGTGCTGATGCTGACAGATGCTTTGGATGTTGTTAGTATGAAATAGGGTGAAGTGTTAGCTAAGTGAAATTGAGATATGAGTGGGCAATCTTACTTTAGCAAGATAGATCAATGTTAGGCTGCACAGAATGATTTAGAGGAAACAGAAAAGGGAGAAAAAAGGTAAATCTCATGGCCTGCCTCACGGTCTAGTTTGTACCATATTTGAACCTGCAATATTGCATTGGCATCAGTACATTACACTGTTAACAAACACTCTGGAGGCTGTGCCAAGCAAAATAAATGGAGTTCTCCTCCACGAGAAAAGGACACCTGGAATACTGTGTACAGTTCTGGTCCCGGCTATACAAAAAAGATGTGGACAGGCTGGAGGGGGTCCGGAGAAGGGCCACCAAGATGACCAAGGGTCTGGCAAGCCTGCTGCATGAGGACAGGCTGAGAGACCTGCGTTTGTTCAGCCTTGAGAAAAGGAGGCTTAGAGGTGATCTCATCACCTTGTACCAGTACTTAAAGGGGACATGCAAAGAAGATGGAGACTTTCTTTTTACAAGGAGTCACATGGTGAGGACAAGGGGTAACGGGTACAAGTTACTCCCAGGGAGATTCCAATTGGACACAAGAGGTAAATTTTTCACAATAAGAACAGTCAACCATTGGAATAATCTCTACTGCCTGGACAATTTTAAGACTCAGCTGGACATGGTGCTGGGCTATCTTGTCTAGACTGTGCTCTTGCCTCGAAAGGTTGGACCAGATGATCCTTGAGGTCCTTTCCAACCTGGTATTCTATAATTCTGTGATTCTATGACTTTAAAAGCCTTGGATAGCTGGGGTAAGCAAAATACAACATCCAAACAAACAGTGAGAAGCAGGGTAGGACGCAACAGCAACTCCACAGTCAGAGAGAGCAAATGCTCATGATACAGGTAAGTGTGGGGTGCTGGCTTGGAATATAGACAAGGGCTGTTTGGGTCTGAATGCTGCCGAGTCCAGATCTAGAAGGATCTTCAGTCAAAGCGGAAGGAGATCTGTTGCCTGTGACACGTCTGCCAAGATGAAGCAGAACTCCTAACGAATGCCACTGGAGGGACAGTTGGACAAAAGCTCTGGTGACTGGGTGTTTGTCTTCCTGTTGCATTTGTGATTTGCATGTTGAACTTACTCTGCAGCGACACTTCTGCTTGTGGCCTGTGTGGATCTAGACCTTTCATGTAGTTCCAAGCTCTAGCATTTCCTTTGGAGCCCGGTGGAAAATTTTACAAGGGACCAGTTGTCTACTGATTCTGCATTTCCCATTCCTTGAGTAATATTGGCATGCCTCCTGCTTTGTGTACCTGTGCTATTTACAATCACTCACTTCCATTCAGTCTCCCCTCCATACACATGGGGAAGAAAATAAGGTGTTTAGCATTTGTTTCTAATATACCCACTGTTTCCCAGCTGCATTTCTCTATTCTCCCAAGGCAAATGCCACACAGGAGCATGAGAGTCTGACCTGTTCTTCAGCAGTTCCTGCTGGCTCTAGGGGTGATCTCTTTCCCCCAAAAGCCTTGAAAGTATTCAGTCCATACAAATCAATGAGTTAGTTTAGGACAATTCCACTGGAGAATGAGAGGTAGGGTTGAAAATTGTAAGGTTAAATTTCATTAACTAATACTTTGCTAGGCTTTCCACAGTCCTAATCCATCTTGCATGAGACATGCAATTTACTTTGCCTCATTTGCTTCAGTGGTCACTATTTAAGTACCTGTGTTGAAGTAGTCACTGTTTAAATGAGGCTTTAAAATGTAAGGGTTCGGGAAACATACAGAGAAACCAGCCAGGTCCCGAAAGGTCCTG